CATCCTGCTCCTCTAACTCGCGTCCCGATTTCACAGGGCGGCAACGTGTGCTGCCCTTCGGCCTCAGCTCGTCTCTGTAAGCAGTGGAGAGGAGAAGGGTTGGACAGGAAGGAAGGGGAGAGTGGGGGCTGCTTTTCAACCGTTCCCAAGGCTTCCACTCCGTGTGCCTCCTGCTCCAATCTGACGGCCACAGAACTGCCTCCAGCCACAGAATACATTTTCTGACACATCACAGGCCCGCGCACTACCCATTCTGCTCGCAGTCCGTGTGTAAAAAGCAAAGTTCTTAGGGGTTCTGTTTCTGCATATCTCAAGGACTAATTAAATCCTCATCACTACCTTCTAATTATTCAGACACTATGGGACTGCACTCGGGCGGTCCCTGCTGGCACGCCAGATGAAAGGGTTAAATAACTGTGTTGATTCTGAGACTCCAGATCAGTTCAGAGCTTCAGGAAGCCACCAGCACTGACATGAATATTTAACCAGGCACCACTGTGAAAATTAAAAGGGAATTCAATTAAAAGGTTTTCAAAAAATTAATTCTGACCTCTCTGCATCTGTCCAAATAAATAAGCCTTCTTCCAACGTTTTCACCTAATTGCTAATCCAGTAAGCTAGAAGGGCATTTGCTAGTTTCATTAAGCTTAGCATGTTATAGGGGTTAAAAATGTGATCACTTTAATGTTAATCATTATTATTCTTATTTATCTACTTAGTCTCTAAGCCCTCTTGAAAAGCAGAGCAACACACTAATAAGCTATTTCTTATCACTCTTCTTGAATTTTAAGATATGTATGGTAAAGATTAAGAAATAAGGAGAGGCCAGCGCTGTGGCCTTGGAAAGCAGCAGAAGATGGCCCAAGTGCTTGGGCCCCTGCTCCCATGTGGGAGACCTGGAAGAAGCTCCTGGCTCCGGATCGGCGCAGTTCCGGCCATTGCGCTGCTCATTTAGGGAGTGAGCCAGCAGATGGAAGACCTTTTTCTCTATCTCTCCCTCTGTCTGTAACTCTACCTCTTAAATAAATAAATAAAATATTTTTAAAAATCATGGGGCTTCACTCTCATGATCTTATGAAAAAAAAAAAAAAAGGAATAAGGATAAAATCTAACCTCATTAGTTACAATCTTCCTGTTACAATTTTGGTATTTCAGGGCTATCTTAACTGTTCCTCTACTGCCTTAGGGGGCATATGCTGTACTACCTCAGGGTTTTTTTTGCGAGGTAATTCAATAGCTCTTCTGTATGAATATAAGTCTACACAGAGAAGAGTCAGTTTAAAATGAAAACCAATAGCACAGGTGCCACCGCAGAATACTAAACTCCAGTTTTGACCTTTTTCTTCTACATTGCTGTTAACACTGAAGGTAAGACCAAAGCACTTGAACTGATTTTCTTTACTCGCAAGAAATCCCAGCAGCACAACACAAAAATAAGTTTTATTCTGGAAAACAGGTGGAAACGTAGGAGAGGTGACGACGGCAGAGGAGAGTACACGGAGGCAGTGGCAGAGCGGCACCGCCTTGGCTCACCTCCAATGCCAGCTGCCTATGGACTCGTGCAGCTGCACACTCATGGTCACGGGCGTCTACACGCCGTGTGGGGAGCCAGGAGCGTGACTGCTGTCCTCTGACAGATCTCAAGACCTGCACCAGAGGTGGGCAGTGTGGGCACCGGAGGGCAGAGAGCGGCTCTCAGCCCAAGGCGGTCTGAGGTGGATAAGTTCTCTTCCACGGAGCAGGTGGCTGATGAGTCTGTGTTCTTCTCAAAGGCAGGACGAGGGTCAGGGAGGCAGAGCCTAGCTTCTTGCGGCTGGGGACCTTGGGCTCCCGCGGGGCACTGTCAGCACCACTGTGCCCCATGAGGACTCTGGCTGAGGACTCGAAACTGCACCCCGAAAAGAAGGAGGCTGCCCCTCCGGGGCTTGGTGTACTGTGTCTGTGCGAGTGAGTTCCTAGGCCTGAGCCGTAAAGAAATTAGATCCCCTAAGGATACATGAAAGAAAATGTATATACTAGAATTTATTCCAACAAAATAAGAAAAGAACTGTTTGACATGGCTACTTTGGCACCTGTTTGCACCTTGTCTATTAAGGGCCATGGTTTCTGAGAAATACATTTAAAAAATAATGATGCTAACTTGGTCTATTTTCCCCCATCAGTGTCTTTTATTCCTAAATATGAGGGATATATATCAAATGTAAGATTACAAATGATTCGTTTTCAATACATGGGAATCAGCTTTGAGGAATTTTCTAGTACAATTTTTCTTAGATATACTTTACACTGTGTATGTTGTTGGTAAAACATCAAATGATGTTAAGACAAACTCAACCACATTTTTACTACTGCTTTAAATCATTAAAGTTGCTGTCATTTGCCACTGAAAAACCTGATGAAATTTTATTAGGAGTTCGTATTACTCCCTCAATTCTAATAAATTAATAAAGCCATTTTCTTTTGCTTCCTGGTATTTAGAGGAAACTTCGTTCTGGATGGTGAAACATCATCTAACTTCATATCTAACATCTAGTGAACTTTCTGGAACCCGCATCTTGGTGTTGTGGATTAAGCTGCTGCCTGCAGTGCTAGCATCCCATATGGGTGCTGGTTTGAGTCCCAGCTGCTCCACTTCTGATTCAACTCTCTGCTATGGCCTGGGAAAGCAGTGGAGGATGGCCTAAGTCCTTGGGCCCCTGCACCCACATGGGAGACCTGGAAGAAGCTCCTGGCTCCTGGCTTTGGTCTTGCTTGGCCTGGCCCAGGCCCAGCTGTTGCAGCCATCTTGGGCATGAACCAGTAGATGGAAGAGCTCTCTCTCTCTCTCCCCCTCTCTCTCTCTGTAACACTGCCTTTCAAATAAATAAAAATAACCTTTAAAAAACTGCGGAGTTTTCTTTTCCAGGGAGTTGCCTCAGCCAAACGCCAACACGCGCAGCGGTGCACACAGCATTCCCAGCACCGCCCTCCAGAGGTAGGATGGCCACGTCCTAGAAACCAGTGCAGATTCAGAACTTGGGCTGCCGCGCTGTGATGGACCCCTGGCCAGTCGGTTCACCGTGTGCCACGGAGGCCATGGGTGGACCTGTCGCCATGCTGGCTTTCACACACTGACAGGGAAGGCCCCTGGAGGTGTTCCACTTTGTTCAGATGCCAAAGGTCATTTAACCAGGCGTCCTCGCCGTTATCGCATTTGGTTTTCTACAGTTTCAGATTGCTTACAAATGCCACCACTCCAGTTCTGACAGGGAGTGTCTCTTCTCTCTTCCTAGTTGTCACTTTGTTAAGGTAAAAATGGCAGGACTTTCAAATAGGGGCCTCTCGCCCTCTAACGCCTGCACCATGAGCAGGCTCCTGCCAGAGAGGAGGCTGTGGGCTGTGGGGAGGAGGAAGCGGAGTACAGACTTCTCCGTCTGTGCTCTGGGCCTGGCCTGAGCGGGCGCTGAGGATGCCATCGCCTCTGCCTTTGTTCTCCGGTTCCCCGACCCCACCAGACGCAAAGCAGAGAAGCGCAGTGACAACTCCTGCCTGCCTGGCACCAGTGAGCACTGCCGCGCTTCTGTGGCGGCCTGCGGATGACCATGACCGGGGAGGCGTGGACTAGGAACAAGCAGGCCCCAGTGGAGTCTCTATCAGTGCAGTTGCTGGCAGCGGGCTTCCACAGTGCTCCTCTGTCAGCACCGACAACGCCTGGGAACTGGTCACGGCGCAGATTCTAAGCTCGACCCTAAACCTTCAGAGGCAGCCGTGAGGGAGGGGCAGGGCTCGGCAACCTACTTGAACAAGTCCTCCAGGCGGCTCCCATGTACCCCAAAGATGAGCCAGTCCGTTATTCAAATATACTATGCTGTCTGGATATTCAGTAAGTTCAATACATAAATTCATGTTGTCACCAGTAAGCATTCATTTCAACACAAACGATGTGCAGACAGGGCGAATCCACTTTTTCATCGGCTTTCCTTCCTGAACAACACGCATCAGGTCCATTAAAACCCACAGTCAGGCAGCACCTCCACAACCACACAGAGGCAGCTATAAACATCAGGGGCCTGTAACCCTTTCCCCATCAGCCTCCGAGCTGGGGGCCCCCGGCCGCTGGGTAATGTGAAGGAACAGCACAGGCCTGGAGGCGCGGGGAAGGGGGCTGGACAAGCCTGGCCCACAGGCATGGCCCCAGATGGCACAGAAATCCTGGTCTGCTCTAATCTGGATGACAATCAATACCATTACCACCACCAGGAGCTGCTCTATTACTGGAGGGGAGACAGAGGGCAGGGATAAACAAATGAAGGCCTAAGGTTTCCACCAAGGCAATGACCGAGGCGCTGAGGAGAGTCCTGTGCGGCCCAGCCGTCTGCGAGTGCGCCTCAGCACCTGGTCACAGGCCTAGGACAGGCCCAGCTCCTCCTGCTGGTCCTGGCACTAACCCAGCTTCTGAGAACGCGGAGCTCACACACTTGGGTGACCTCAAAGGCCCTGCTTCTCTATTTGCAAGCCGAGGTGACTGGACTCAACCATCTTTTAGGTCAGTTTCAGTTCTAAGACCTTAGTTTTGTAATACAAGTTCTCGCTCCGGGTTTCACATTCTACTATTAAATAGCACAGAACCAGCAACTGATAAGAACAACTACATCCAGACACACTCTAACGTTGTACTCGATTAGGACTGGTATGCAAATTAAATGCTTCTCAGTCGTATTACACGGCAGGATCAAATGTCAGACTATATTCATCCCTAAATTACGCTGCACGATGCTATGTGGACACAGATGCGCTATGGGCCTGGAGCTGCACGGTAAAACTTCACTCAGTTTGCAAGACTGCATTCTGCTTTCTCCATATTTGTTGGTACAAGTTCAGTTCTTGTTTAGTGTGTCATGTGATAAGGAAATACAGCATCCCTTGCAGAAAGGTCACGAGGAGGTGCAAAGGTGAGGAAGCTCCCGCGAGCCTTCCGAGGGCAGAGCGCGACAGGTACTTGAGATGAAGCAATGACTGACCTCTTTCCTGTGGCATTGGAGACTGGCTCAAGGCAGGATGGGAACTGGATTCTGATTGGCTCCCAGCTGGCTGAGGAGGCATCTGACTGCCTGTAAAACATGGGAGGAGAGGGGGTGTGGGAAACCCTTTGCATTAATACTGCAATTGTGCAACACCAAGACATCACTACATTTAAGAAGGACGGCTCCACACAGAGAAAGACACAGCTCAGAAAGTGCAATGTTTTATCTTTTTTTCCTGCAGAATGAAGAGGAAACATGAATGAACACATTTAGCAAGGAGCTGCGGAAAAGTCCGATTTGTTTCTATGAGATCCCAAACTCACAGGGGAGTTAACCTATAGTAAAAGTTTGCCGACACATCCTTCTCCCATACACTTAACAACATCCAAGGCGATCAAGGCAAACATATCCGCCTGGGTCTAGCTTAGTTTCTAGCGAGGCAGTGTCACAGTGGCCAATGATTACTCACTGGGATTATCCACCTGATACAGTACTAACAACACATTTCTAAAGGATCTTCACAATTAGTCAAGAATTCAACACAAATTTAGAAGACCTGCATTAAAAGGTATTGAGCATTCTACTATAATATGTATTGTATACCCATATGATCAATAAGAAAAGGAATGTCATTTTCTATTATTTTTATCTTTATTGCTAATATAGCCATAGCATCTATTTAATTTCCATTTCTTCAATGTCTGTTCATTTTACCTCCTCAAGTAGAAGAGACAGGAATCATATCTTTTACTACTTTAATCCCTCTCTTAGCATGACAGATATCTAATAAATCATAATTCAAGAATATAAATTAAAAGAGAAGAATTATTATCGATAGAAGGGAGACAGTGAATCATGGAAGGCAGGGGACAGGAGTTCGATGCATCGGAGGCAGTTGGATCCCAGCTCTTTCGGCTCAGAGGTTTAGATACATTTCTAAGACTAAAAATATAAGAGACTTAGAAAGGCAGTTGAATTTAGCACAATCCCTATGGCATTAGTTCTCAGGGCATGAGGTCCATGTTGATTCATTTTCTACTTTCTCTGCTGCAGGAAATCATACAGGAACCCACACACATACATGTGTGCACACATCTACACACTCTGCAAGGACCTCAGGTATGGAAGTCACATGACGATGCTGGATCACGCGAACTGCTTTGATCCCTCAGGAACTACTCTTCCAGCTATGTGTGTTGCTAAACAGGATCCCAACTGCATAGAGAAGGAAATTAACCTCCCCTGGGTCAGCACCAATCCAGCCCAGGAAGGTCAGGACACACAGGACGTGAAGCCTGGTGCTCCTGAAGAACAATGAGGTGGCTTCTTGGTGACAGACAGGCAGACCAGGAGGAGCTCGGACCCAGAGACGCTCAGGACGGGCACTCCCCACCAGCTCTATTAGCAGTTGAATCTGCGACAGCCACAAAGCCAGAAAGATGGCTTCCAGTTTAGGTAATGGGCATAAATAGATCTCCAGCTCCTCTCCCTGGTGGAGGAGGGAAAGCTTCTGAGTGCGCCTGGTGTTCAGCACCCACTCCCATGCTCGGATAAAGTGCAAACCAAAGACCTCCACTTAACACATATGGAGAATTACGCACTGGGAAACCACTAGGAGCTGCTCTTACTTGAGAGCCACAATTAGCAAAAACAGCACAAAATGTGTTTAACCATTCATTTGGTCTCAGCCGTTTACAGAAAATTATACCAAATAACTAGACAGAAAATAAAAAGCAAAACATTCTGGGCCGAAACAACGCCAAAGGCAAGCACTGGTCCAGATCTCCAAGCGGTGCTGTCCGTCTACTGTGGGGTCACGTGCTCTCCTCACTATGTCCCAGGGCCCCTAGGCTACCACTCTGCAGCTCAAGACTGAACACTGTCACAGGGGAGCCAGCTGCACCAGGACAGTAAGTGCTTGCACTGTAAGGATCACTCCTGCATGATGGGCTGGATTCATGGACTCAGGACAGGAAAAACAAACAGTAATTCCATGTTAACACAGGGCACCATGGCGTCTACTGTGCACGCCCTGGGGCACTGCTCCTCTATACAGCATTCCAAGTGAAAATAAGAGGCTGTAAAGCCCTATCCCATGATTCGTAAAACAGGGCCACAGTCAAACAGCACTACCGGTTGTCTAGAGCAAGTTTAAGAAAATCCATGTATTAAATTTACCCTGCTGAAGAAACAAAAAGGAACCTTTTCAATGATAACAGCAGATACGCCTGAACCATTTAAAATTCTTTTTTTCCTCACCCTCTGTCTCTCTCTTGATAGTTTCCTAACTACTGAGTAACTACAGTCACTAAGAAATAACGCCATCTTCAACAGGTGCAGGTGCAAGCAGAGACATGGCAGATGACGACCACTATGCAGCTGAGAATGTGTCCATGGTCCTGAGAACCAGAGTGCAGAGGGCTGTAAACCAACTAAACTGGGTAAATGCCTTCAAACTGCTCCTGTTTATATGACATAGGTCAACACTGCCATGCACGCTGGGCAAACCAAGTCTGAGAGAAAAAATTTAATACTAAGCCTGAGTTTTTAATGAAAGCTGCACATTTCCCCTTACCTGTATTTATATGATGTAAGCACAGTGGGGGAAAATTACAACAGGAAAAACTGCACTGTGAATGAGAATGAATCTCACCACTTTACCCCATGCATTTATTCTCCAGGGGCCATTCACACACTATTGCGCAAAACTGCGGTGACAGAGACTGAAAGGAGGCATCAGTAAGTCACCTGAATTTCTACTTCTGCTGAATTAAAAACCCTCGCCCTGAGCCTACACTTTAAAAAAAATTATCTCATATCCCTTAGCCCATCCCCTAATGGCAACATCTTATATAACCATAATATAATTATCTAGAAGAGGAACTTAACTAAAGACCTTATTTGAATTTCAATGCCTTGCATTTCGCTATTTCTTCTTGGTCTCCTCTAGTCTATAAATGTCCCTCAGGCTCTTCCTGTGTTCTGTGACCTTGACACTTCTGAAGAGTTCTGCTCGGCCGTTCTGCAGGAGGCTCCCCACCACTGGGCACCCCCACGACATCACATTCTCCTCTGGTCACTCTGTCAAGACGCTCACAGGGTGATATGGCTCATTTCTGAGGATGCCATCCTGATTACTTGGCCAATTCATCAGTAATATCAGTGCATCAATGACCATACAGTTCTTACCTTTTTACAGATTTACTTATATATTTGAAAGGCAGAGGGACAGAGAGATATTCCATCCACTGGTTCACTCTCCAAATAGCTACAACAGCCAGGGTTGGACAGGCTGAAGCCAGGAGCTCCCTCCTGGTCTCCCACATGGGTAGCAGGGGTCCAAGCACGTGGGCCACATTCTGCTGTCTTCCCATGCATGTTAGCAGGAAGCTGGGTTGCAAGCAGAGCAGCTGGGATTTGAACCAGCACAAAGAAATGGGATGCTGCTGCTAGTGGCACTTAACCTGCTGCACTATAATGCTGTCCCAATAACATACTTCTCTTCTTATTCTAGATCAAAAAAGATAAACTTTTTCTTTTAAATGCCAGAGATTAAAACTTTATTTAAAGAAACAGGCAGAGTCAGCACTCTGGCATAGTGGGTAAAGCTGCCGCATGCAGTGCCGGCATCCCATATGGGCACTGGTTCAAGTCCAGGCTGCTCCACTTCTAACTGAGCTCTCTGCTATGGCCTGGGAAAGCAGCAGAAGATGGCCCAGGTCCTTGGGCCCCTGCACCCACATGGGAGACCTAGAAGAAGCTCCTGGCTCCTGGCTTTGGATCTGCCTAGTTCTGGCCATTGCAGCCATTTGGGGAGTGAACCAGCAGATAGAAGACCTCTCTCTGTAACTCTGCCTTTCAAATAAATAAATAAATCTTAAAAAAAAAAAAAAAAAAAAGAAAAAGAGAGAGACAGGCAATGGGCTAGATTTGGCTCAGAGGCTGTAATCTGCTGGCCCTCATTCTAAATCAGTATGAAAACACTCAGCAACATGTGCTCAAAAACCCCATAAACAGTATTTACTAAAAACATCATTCAATAAAATAGTGACACACTCCCCATATTTGATACAGAACCTCACATAAACAAATGTCAGTGACAGAGCCTGGTTTATGTGCTCTCCAAACCAAACCCAGCGCATGACGTACTGGGCTCCTTAGTAGTGAAAGCAAGCACAGGTGTTAAGACCTAAATGGCAGCCGGTGCCGTGGCTCACTAGGCTAATCCTCTGCCTTGCGGAGCCGGCACACCAGGTTCTAGTCCCGGTCAGGGTGCCAGAGTCTTTCCCGGTTGCCCCTCTTTCAGGCCAGCTCTCTGCTGTGGCCCGGGAGTGCAGTGGAGGATGGCCCAGGTGCTTGGGCCCTGCACCCCATGGGAGACCAGGAGAAGTACCTGGCTCTTGCCATCGGATCAGCAGAGTGCGCCGGCCGCGGTGGCCATTGGAGGGTGAACCAACGGCAAAAAGAAGACCTTTCTCTGTGTCTCTCTCTCTCACTGTCCACTCTGCCTGTCAAAAAAACAAAACAAAACAAAACAACAACAACAACAAAAAAAAAAAAAAAAACCCAACTAAATGGCAAGTATATTCAGCAGGTAAATTTTACTCAAAGTGACTACTTGCAGTTTTTTGTTCCCTAAACAAACAAATCAAAACTAACGATGAGATGCAAGCGTGTCAGTTAAATTCGACCTCTATGGTGTTGGAATCGCAGGGAATAAACAAGAAATGACCAGGATTCCCACTCGAGTCCTCTACTGAGGCCGAAACATCCCTCAGTGGACTCCTCTGTAAATGACCACAGTGACCACACAACTGGACAGACTCACCAGCAACCAAAGCACTAACTCTGGGCAACAGCAGCCTCTGGCAAACCACTCTTGGCCTCTGAAGCGATGCTGTGCTTTCTCTACGTGCTGCTAATGGGCACAGAAATACCCAGAAGTTCCATTTTGCAAAAGTTGTAGTGTCCAGAGACAAAGTATTTCTTCCTTTCACATAGTTATAGAGAGAAAGCCAACTAACCCAAGATGGATTTAGTTACCAGAGATGAAATACTGATGTCATCAGTCAATATGACAAGTCCAG